TAATATGAATGCAGACACTTGTATTCATTCAATTTATTCAGTTTATAAAATTCTTCAGTTTTCTATTATACTTTATATTTTTTGAAATTAATTTTAAATTATTTCACTCCCTCCAGTGGTTTGGGATAAAGAAGCAGCTATTTTAATAAATGTAGTCACTAACCCGTACTTGGAAATAGATCTCAAATCCAATTAAATTTGCCTTTTATCACAGAAATGGTAAGACAATACCCATTTATCAAAGTAGACTACAAGACAAACATTACCCTAAAAACTTTTTAAATTAAAAAGTAGCATTCTTGATTATTTGCTGACTTCTAAACTTCATTTAACCTATAAATAAGTTGTTTTGTTTTGTTTTTGTTTGTTTTGTCAGTTGTGAGGCCTGAACTCTGGGCCTGGGCGCTGTCCCTCAGCAATTCAGCTCAAGGCTAGAGCTCTACCACTTGAGCCACAGCATCACTTCTGGCTTTTTCTGCTTATGTGGTGCTGAGGAATCAAACCCAGGGTCTTGTGCATGCAAGGCAAGCATTCTACCACATATAAAAATAAATAAAATAAAAATAAATTTTATAAGAAGACCCCTTTTAGAATGAAGAAGAGCCCCAAATCCCCTGTAATCTCTAATAGTACTTTATCTTCTAATCACAATTTTGAAGGAGAAATTTCAAAACCGTGCCTGGTTCTATTTTTAATATGATTTTACTAATATTTAAATAATATGTTCTCATTTTTAACCCTTTCATATCAAGCAATGTACCATCAGATAGATTCAGTGTTTCTCTAAAAACAACAAAGTAATTTGTCGTGGACATGCGACCTAATTGTTCATTTACATAGACCATGTTCTGTCTTCTTTTAAGAAGTTTGAGATGAATGGGAGAGTCATTACATGGTACCAAGAAACTGATATAAAGCACCTAACCAGTTGTGAGTGAAGAGAGTGGACAGGTGTTATAGCAGATTTCCTGACAAGCCAGATAGAAACTCACCTGTGACCTTTGGCGCATGGATCCAGAGCACTCACTTATCTACAAGTTCTTCTGGCTGGACAATTGCTTGATTAAGACTAATGTGTTCTTTTAAAAGTTTTCATTGGTTGTGTTGTGGAGTAATTGAGCAAATGGACCTAATGCCCTAGTCTGCTTGATGTGGGGAACTAAGCATTACCACTATTCTCCAGAGCTAGGAAATGGAGTTCCCTAGACTGGTGATTCTCCTTATCTATTTCAGCACTGCAGATGGTGGGGTAAATAACGTAAGGACATACAATCTTTCATGAGAGCATGCAGGCCATTTCAACTTCGTCATTTCATGATAAAATATAACAACACTAATTCTAATCTCCTCATACTTTAAAACTTTCAAACATCCCTAAGCAAATAGACAATGATCTTCATTCTTTTCAGCCAGAAATATTTGTGAAAGTAGTTTATTAGACATTTAGATAATACATATTTCTATCTATAGCTATCAAGTTTTGTTTTGGAGTCAGGAAAATTAGATTAGGAAAAAAGGAATTAGACTGATTGAGATGTAAGAATATGTAAACAACTCTAAGGATTTAAACTGCTGTAAAGGTATCTCCTTAACTAATATTTCTCTTTACATTCTCCACTCCCCTTTCTATAGCAATGTCAGATGTGACTCATGCTCTAAAGAAAATAAAGCAGAGGGCTGGGAATGTGACTCAGTGGTAGAGTGCTTCCCAAGAATGTATGAAGCCCCAGGTTGAATTCCTTAGTGCCACATAAACAGAAACAGCCAGAGGTGGTGCTGTGATTCAAGTGGCAGAGTGCTAGCCTTGAGTAAAAAGAAGCTCAGGAACAGTGCCCAGCCCCTAAGTTCAAGCCCCAGGCTAAGAAGGCAAGAAAGCAAAGAAGGAAGGAAGGAAGGAAGGAAGGAAGGAAAGAAGGAAGGAAGGAAGGAAGGAAGGAAGGAAGGAAGGAAGGAA